GAGGAAAAGAAAAGGGGCCCAAGTGCCTCAGGCCTGAGCTCCTTGCGTTCAGGAACGGGCAGCTATGGAGCACTTACTATGTGCCAGGCCCTGCGAGAAGCCGTGCACAGGCTGAAATCCTCAAGTGCTCATTATAATCCGTGGCCAGTGTGACCAGGGCCCTGTCTACAGATTAGAGAGGCCAGGTGGCTTCTCCTTTCCACCAGAGCCGAGGTCCAGGCCTAGATCCATCTGATTGTTGCACAGCCTCTCCCTGTAACCACTGAGCACCCTGCCACCCACCCACACAGGCACTCAACTTGGTTCAGTCAACCTTTGAAGCAAATTACCTTTATTGTTGAAAGTATTACGGATCCCCCTTTCTCCCCATTGACCTCCTCCACCCCACTCCTGCCCCCTCCCCTGGCGAACCAACGTTTATTAAAATGCTGTAGCAAGAGAAGGAAACCCAGGCAAGCTAGATGGAGAGGCTGTGAACAGGGTGGAAGTGAGGGAGGTTCTTGAGGATGGGTCAAGGGTGAGCAGGAAAGCAAATGTTACTCTAGAAGATTCTTTCTGAGAAGGGGGGAACCCCAGGGCTGGGAGCTGTGACTGAGCTCCTCCAAGCCCTCATGCGACTCCTTGGACCAGGAATAAACTTGAGAAGGACTGTGCCACACTGGAGCAGAAACTCATAATCTCATTCAAGATGAACTTCACCACGCTGACAAGGGACTCCTGCACCCAGACCAGCACGTCCAGCCACGTCTTCTGCAGTTGACTTAGCATCTCTTGGAACAAACTCAGTACCTCTTCACAAAAGCTCTTCCCAGTCTTCTGGGCGCCTGTGAGAGAGACTAGTTAGGAAGCCAGGGCAAAGTGGAATAGGGACTGAGGCAGATGGTTAAGCGACTAAGCCTTTATAGCCATCTAGTACATTGCAAAATCCTGTCTTCCCTAACCAAGGACACAAGAGTAAATGGTTTAGCCCTAACCGGTTTGTCTCAGTGGATAGAGTGTCGGCCTGCAGACTCAAGGGTCCCAGGTTCGACTCCGGTCAAGGGCATGTACCTTGGTTGCGGGCACATCCCCAGTAGGGGGTGTGCAGGAGGCAGCTGATCGATGTTTCTCTCTCATCGATGTTTCTAACTCTCTATCCTTCTCCCTTCCTCTCTGTAAAAAATCAATAAAATGTATTTTTTTTTAAATGAGTAAATTGTTTAGAGCATCATCCCGTACACCAGTACAGGTTGTGGGTTCAATTCCCAGTCAGGGCACATACCTAGCTTGCAGGTTTAATCCTTGTTCAAAGCAAATACAAGAGACAACCAATTAATGTTTCTCTCTCAAATAGATGTTTCTCTCCTTCTCTCTCTCTCTCTTCCTCTCTCTCTCCCCCTTCCTCTCTCTCTAAAATCAATAAACATATCCTCAGGTGAGGATTAAAAAAAAAAAAAAAAGACTAAGGGGCTCATACTTCTCCTCCCAAAACAGGCGGAAAATAGCTTAAATCACCCCACTCAGGGAGACAGATAGCAGAAATCCAGTTAGTGCTAACCACCCCCAAGCACAGGTGAAGTTGAAGCAGTGGTTCTCAACCTTCCTAATGCCATGACCCTTTAATACAGCTCCTCATGTTGTGGTGACCCCCAATTTCATTGTTACAAATTGAACATAATGAAAGCATAGTGATTAATCACAAAAACAATATGTAATTATATATGTGTTTTCCGATGGTCTTAGGCGACCCCTGCAAAAGGGTCTTTCGACCCCCAAAGGGGTCAAGACACACAGGTTGAGAACTGCTGAGTTAAAGGAACACATCTCATTTTGGCACATCAGCATAAAGCTGATGAATATTCTATTGAGATCCTTCCCCAAGACCTCCTCTAAACTCCCAGCCTTTAAACCCTCAACACAAAGGACCAGGAGCAAGCCCACACCTTTCTTCCCTTTTAGGCATGCATCTTCTAAACCCGTAGTCAGCAAACTGCGGCTCGCAAGCCACATGCGGCTCTTTGGCCCGTTGAGTGTGGCTCTTTCACAAAATACCGCGTGTGGGCGCGCATGTACAGTGCGATTGAAACTTCGTGGCCCATGTGCAGAAGTCGGTATTTTGTGGAAGAGCCAGAATTTTGTGGAAGAGCCACACTCAAGGGGCCAAAGAGCCGCACTTTGCCGAGCCGCACTTTGCCAACCACTGGCCTAACAATTCCGGTCAAGGGCACATGCCCAGGTTGTGAGCTTGATCCCCAGTGTGGGGCGTGCAGGAGGCAGCTGATCAATAATTCTCTCTCATCACTGGTGTTTCTATCTCTCTCTCCCTCTCCCTTTCTCTCTGAAATCAATAAAAATATATATTTTTAAAAATAAACAAAAACAAACATCCTCTCAAAATCACCTGGACGTTGGTTCTGCGATCCTTCTGGCTCAGAGTCCTGCTCCGGGCCTGGTTTCTGTCCAGGGCGGACTCTGCTACAAACTCTGTTACGCAGTTCCTGCTGCTGCTCCGGAAGTAAGGGAGTAGATTCCTGTGGGGATGGGCCATGTGTAGGGTCTGACCAGGTTCTGACAGAAGCTCACACAGGGAGCTGCCTGCTTTCCTGACGCCAGTCCACACACAAAGACTTCTCTCGGAGGTTAAGCGCCCCAACTCCACTTTGTAGCTAAACCACGAGGGTCGTACCTGTTTGCTGGCTGACTGGCCTCTGAGGCCAGCACCAGGCCCAGGGGGTTCCTCATTAACGCATGGAGGTGAGGGCAGGGCTTTGGCCACTGTGTGCTCGGGGGGAGGTCAGGAGCTGGTGCCAGCCACCCCTCCACCCCACCGCACCCCACTCAGGGGCTGTGTATGCTCATGGCAGCGCCAACATCACAAGCGATTAGGGGTGAAGGGGAAGCACAGAGGGCTGTGACAGGAGCCTCAGACTCACCTGGTTGTTCTCACAGTGAGCCAATAAGGTATCAAGCGCGGCCTCATTGATGCTGATCTGAGGAGAGGAGGGTGTGGAGGCTGCAGGCCTGCTCCTGCCGGCTGTGGTCTGTAGTCCCCACTGTGACCTCCAAGGGAGCCAAAGCTCACCCCAATAACCTGGCCCAGCCAAACTCCTGGGGACTAAACTTTGGGGGAGGGGGGGGGCAAAACTCACCTTCAGCTGTTCTATGCCTCTTTGGGCCTATTGGGAAAAAATGACTTGGTTTAAATTCCCCCGGCCTCCCTCACTTTCAGTCTTATCCCATGTTCTCAGCTCGCGGTCTCCCCATAACTGGTCCAGCCATGTGCCTGGGGACCTGCTCTGTCTTCAGTATACCTATGACTTGGACACCTCTCAGGCTCCCTGGGCCTTCCTATCCCCCACCTGTGTACTCACCCCCCACACAGGTGTGAATTTTGTCCAGTGTAAGGGAGAGCCAACCTGAGGTGGCACCTTCATTATCATCATCATCATCATCATCATCATCATCATCGTCATCATCATTGTGAATGCCCCCCCCCCA